CAAGTCGGGGATATACATGTTGAAGCTCGTTCTCGCTCTGCGGCATCCACCGGCACAAGCTGGGACCGCATTATTACATATATCGTGCGTGGAGGACCAACAACAAGGTTCAAGCGCACGAAAAAACAAGAACAAAAGGAATAAAACGGAATGATCGTAGCAAAGGAGAGCCCAAACAAGGACAGCAACATCTACTTCCAAGACTGAGGGAACTCTATGATACGGACGCCAGATGTACGTAGTTGATGACGAGAATGTCTATCCTCGGCGTGGAATAATAGTCCACGCGAAAGAAAATATCGTACCAGTGTAGCTTGCAGAAGGCGACCAGCTATCATGACACACACCAAGAGAGAGGAAAAGAAAAACCGATGGGCTGAAAACGATGACATTGACCTTTCGCGTTACTCATACATAGTCCCGCGGAGGCCGCACACGAACGAAAGACTTGGTCAGTGCTTTCCTCCTGGCTGCTTCGCGACATCAGCTACCCTCCAAGACGATGCAGTCAACCATCCAGCCCCCCGAGAATCGGCGTTGTTACCTATGCATGGGGTACGCATATACTACGCATAGAAAATGTGTATCTTGGGCGATGCAGAGGATACCCAGACCAACAAACCGTCTGAAACACAATACCTCATTTGCTATCAGCAGCATGTATTTGCAGCAGCGGTATTCATTAACCCGCAGAAACGAGCGGCATAACCTCTCCGTACAGTTGCCAGTAGCAACCACCAAACTCCGCCGCTATCGCGAACTACAGTGTGAAGAATGCTATTAAAACAGTAACACCTTGGCTTGCCATGTTTCAACTCCCCCAGCCACACACCACCAGCGATCGCACCTGGAGGTTACCTCAAACGGCATTTCATATTTTTCGTTCCCTAGCGCTATCTCCGGATGTGATATCTCATGCCGCCTGCGGTTACTGACTTTGCGGAGGGCCAGCCCATGGGCATGCGGGTGCCGCCCTGCAGAGGAACGGGACGGCTCTTATCCACGGAAGGGTTGGGGCTAGACTATGAACAGCAGAAAGTAGATGCACATTTGTAAACATGCAAAAGTGAGCTTGCTTGCCGTTCGATGAAAAATATCCCCGCATGTGTGTGTGTTTTCAAGCAAAGTCCAAGCTGAAAGAAAGTGTGTGTCCCGTCGAGAAGAAGCAGTCATGCCATGCCAGCAATCCGTCCTGTTGCCCGAGCAGCGGGTGCCGGCCGCCATCGATTTGCAACTGACTTCGGCTCGGCGTTTGCATCATCATCGTACATACATCATACCACCCGCTGTTGTTGCGCGGACCCCTGAGTCCATCGGCCATGCAATGTCCGATCTTGTGTGCGTCAAATGCAACCATCATGCAATGTGCGCTCTTTGCCCGTCCATACAAACGCATGTGCTCACCTCTTGCGTTCTCTCTCCTAAACATGGCGGCTACCTCCTGTCGCTTCAAGGGCTTGCCTCGGCGTCCGTTTTCAGCTACCATAGACTGGACTATGTGAGTGTTCGTATACATGGAGCAGGCACGCAATTTGATCACTACTTTTTTTTTCCTTACAACTATAGAACATGACACAACAAGTGAGTATGCATACAATCTCTATCCATCGATTACTACTACTGTAGAACGAGTCTGAATAGATTATTACTGGGTATGTAGCAAAGAATCTCCAATTGTATCTGTACAATTCTACGATTTCCACAGCAGCGTACAGCGGTATCTCCCTTGTTGGTAAGAGGAAGACAGTTTTGGTAGTCATCTCTCTTGTGTGTCTATATAGCTGTATGTTGACCAGACTTCTTGTTGTGCTGGGATATTGACGAAAAAGAACTCGCCGAAATTCGAGACTTGGCATCACGGAGATTTTGATGAGACGATTGCCTATAACGGAATTGCCTATATCTGGCATTTTCCAATCACAAAAAGAAAGTTTGTCAACAGAGCAGCTTACATACATACTTTCAAGTTCTTATGCACTATCGGTATATGATGTACCTGCTGTAGTAGACCGTATACATCTAGATTAGACTATCTGCTTTCCGTTCAGAACAATCTAAATGGACTAGAGCGAAAATACACACCACCCACAGCAGTAGTCCCATTCCCGCATGCACCACAGCAGTCATACATACATGCACGCCAAAGCGCGGAGGACAAATCGCACCCTCCCTGCGGTTGTGGTGGTTGGTATCATACCGATGGGCATCCTTTCCCACCACCCCTGCAACTTGCTAGGTTGGAGCTCAGTGAGGGTATCGCTCACGGCGTGGGGTCGGAACCGGTAGACTACTAGGCTTTTAAAGGACGAGCCGATGATGACGTGATAAACGACAACTACCGCACCGTAGATATATTCACGGCGCTGCGCGAAGTCGACGATTCCTGTGCGTGCGGAGACTCATTCAATTTTCATCGATGCAATCAATCGTTCCTCCGTGCTTCTGTGCGACCGCTGGGGCGGGAGCTCTTCGGGAGAGCAAGCAAGACGCTACATATCTACATACGTACGCCGGATACTTTGCGAGCGATGGCATCAGATGGAAGAAGGAACCAAGATATCTACTGTGGCGATACTGTTCTCTGCACAGCCGGTTGTATGTGTGTGTGTGTGTTGCACGTGTGGGGTCTTCGATCCATGCGTAACAACGCACGAAGCCTGTTGGTCATCAACGTGCTTGGCGTCCGTTCGTTCGATGTCGGCGACGACCATTCATTACGACCATTCATTCGAACGATGCATGTGTGTGCGAGGAATTTATTGGTATTTCTTTACTTTGGACGCCGGAAGACCGTTGCAATTTAAAACTACAGTTCGTTAAACCGTGCCAGGGAGGGCGTTTATGGTGGATATACTACTCCGTAGTACGTATGGATATGCATATGAACGGTTCAAGCAATCGACAAGAGACAACGAAAGAGGGGCTGCATGGTGGAGGGGGTCAGCAGGACAGACGGATGACAAAACATCCGGCGAGGGTAGGTATGTAGTCTCCTGGGTCCTTTTGTGCGGAGACTGGAGCACTGGCGGTGCCTTTCAACAGGGGCAAATAATCCACACACGTGCTTTTTTGTAGCGAGTCGGGTGTGTGTGTGAACCTATGTTGCTGCTGAGCCACAAGCTGCGTTTGTGCGCGCTTGCGGGCGGGGGAGGGTAGTGTGAGCGTGGTCGGAAAGGCTCGCACAGACGTCTCGCCTCTCAGCGAAGATCGTGACGCACACGCATATATATCTGCGTCAATCGAATCAACCTCGCTGCGGCTGCCTGCTGAGTTCATCATCGACAAACCGAAGAAAACCAAATACGCCGAGAGAGAGAGAGAGGGGAGGGTCGAATTTGGCGCAAAAAAAAAAATGCAAAAATCTAAACACACATCATGGGCTTGTTCAACTCAAGCGCGCTCCCCAACGGAAGATGCTTTGGGCCCAAAAGCTGGAGGATCCCGGTTGGCCATGTCCTAGAGTAGCTGGATCCACGCTCGGCACCGCCGCGTCGGCAGTGGTTGTGGAGAAAAACGCCTCACCTTCTGTGCCTGCGGATGAAGGTGTTGCGATAGCGGACCGCCGTTGGCCCAGGTTGCTGCTTGCTGCTTGCTCCGCTGCTGTTGTTATTCTCGACGACGATGGTGCTTGGTTCGCCGCAAGCCTATCTCCCATGTCCGCTCACCGCCGCGGTGCTGCAGTGGGACCGAGGGTGCGCTGGAGGGCACGCGCCACAAGAGGGTTCGGTTGCCCAAGCCCAAGAGGGAAAACAGAGAGGAGTAGAGGGATGTTCGTGTGCGGGAGGTGCTGCGCTGTCTCTTTCTCTGTCGGTCTCTTGGCGATGGTTGTTCTTGACGTGTGTGTGTGCGGCCGATCCGACAGGGGAATGATATCCCTGCTCGCTGCTGTGCTGCTGCTGCTGCTGCTGCTGCTGTCCTCACGCTCTCTCACGCTACTCCCCTCCTTGTTGCAAGAGACTTCTGGCGTCGGTGCTGGTTCTGCAGCACAAAACTTGGAAGGGCACAATGGAAGGGGTTTTTCATAACAACCAATCCATGCACAACAACCACAGACAAAACGCGGTTTTGCGAGGGGGATGTGGTCAAACAGTAACACACCCAAACAAAGACACCAAGATACGAGCGTTTTTCCATCATGGACACAACCACGAGAATCGATCGAACAAAGAACCAGCGCCACGCCACACTGACTGCTGGAGGATGATCTTACCTGGCTGTGCTGAAACACGCGCACCTACAGAGAGCACTAGGTAGGGCGAACGGGACAGCGAGAGAGAGAGAGGGAGAGGGAGAATAGAGTAGGAGAGAGCGAAATGTGTGCAGCTTAGCTCCGCCGGCGAAAAAAAAAGAAAAAATGAAAAATTCAACCATGGAAATCCTACAGCAGGACGAACGAATGTTGTGTGAAGGGCGCGTGCATGCAAAATTAAACGACACACACAACAATTACAACAATTGGTGAGCACACGCAGCACGCCAGTTCTGTAGGAGGGGTTCACCTTGATACTGAAGGTGGCCCGTTTGCGGTTCAAGAGTATTCGCGTCGTCACTAGGATTGCACGCTGCGTTATCTGTTATCTACCAGGATCCAGTGAGGAAAAATTTAAGTCTTGGTGGGTACGACCCTGCGGAGAAACAACCAACTAACAGTGGATGTATGATGGCTTCGACCAAAAGACCAACCAACGGCTTTGGCAGAACAAAAAAAGTTCAAGGGCCGCGACAAGAAAAGCTTGGTCGCGAGGGTAACACGGATATCACTGCGAGGGGCTGAGGGCATCACTCACACACAACCAAGTACATAGCACTATTGTTGCCCGCCGAGTGCCTTCTTTGCTCACCTGCTGCTGTCATTCTGTGGAAGAATGTGTACATGGATGGACGGCAGCAGCGGCCTGTTGGAGGGGAGGAACGCATGATGAACGGTTGACGGGAATCTTCTCGGAACACTCCACTCACTGAAAAGACTCCACCACATACATCCCGTTCGACTGTTGTGGGTATATCTCGAATGGGTAGTCTTTCTGCGTGTGTATGTATTTTTGCTTAGTTAATACACAACAACGTCTGACTAAGTGTATGTAAAGAGTACCCAGTACCGGGGGGGGGGGGGGAGGAGGTGGTCGTCGTGGTTGTTGTCGCTGTTGTTTTCACGTGGATAGAGCGGGTATTTATACCCCCATGATGAATAGGAGTATTATGCTTTCAAACTACATGTAGTACTCTATGCATACTTCAGCCAGTAATGGTCCCTGGTTCAAAGCAACCTGTCTGTACAGCAGTAGGATTGCGCACTTCTGCTGCCTATCCCTTACCCCAACACAAAACAACCCTACCCAAAGCTATTTACTGGTAAGCACTAGGTCACTACTCTACGTCGTAAGCCTAGGCCGCGGCGCAAGAGGAGGTAATGGCTATGGGTGTATACTACTCGAGGACGTTCCGAGACATGGTACAGCAGTATTCCGACCGTCACAACCAATCATTCATTGCATTCGACCAAGTCGTCAGCGCTGGAGGCTGTATGTGGGTGGCTTGGCAAATAAACTCAGAGTGGATGTTTAATGTGTGTTTCACTATTGCAATTCACATTTTTCATCAAAAATCAATCCTTCTATGCATACAACCTGTATCCAGTTGCTATTTTCACAGATTTTATATCCAGAAAAAACTCAGGATATTCACAAGACGGCCCGGCCCGTTCGAGAGATAACCACGGCACAGCAGCAGTATAGTAGCAGTCGTAGGGAATGGACTTGCCCAGGACTTGCCCAAGGGCGAGGCGACTGGTTCCATTCGGTACACGAACGTACGTACGTGTAGAAGGACTGCTGCTGTTGTTGTAGTACTACATACCGCTATATATACGCTTGCTGCACTGCAGTACGTTGTTGATTGATTCTGATGCGTGCGCTCGCTCAACTCCCCCAGCACAACAACCAGCCGTCCATTCCCCCACAGCGAAAATGCCCCAACAACAGGTCGGCGGCGATGGCGACGGAAGTTTTTTCCCACGGGCGGGGCTGGCTGAGGTTGAGGTTTGTTCTCTTGCAGCAAGAAATCGGGAAGCAAGTATGTCACCGCGAGGAGTTTGTTGTGGGTTGCAGGAGAAGAAGCCCTCCAACGCCCACACCACCGTCTGTCGTGTAATAACACATTCTATTTCTGTGGGCGCATCGGATCGCAATTGTTTCACCGATGAGCTGTACGAGGATGCAAAAAAAGTACTACGAAAAGGGTGTTAATTTACATGTCATAATGTACAACCAGTCAGTGCTTCGTTTGCTTCTCTGGGAGCGCTTCGTTGGTTGGAAATACGATATGACTACTTACTGCTGTTGTTGTGTAATCGTTGAATTTTTTATGTTGGATCTTTACCGATGCACCAAGATCACGTGTCGACCCTCTTTCATGGATGTCGAGATTAACCATGGATACAATGGATACCACTTGGATACGCGTCTGCTGCCACCAGAAAAATCTTCTTTTCGGGGGGTTTACAATGGGTGAATAAACGTGCACGGGCCACCTGTGTGATTCCCAAGGAAGCGGTCGAACCTCATTGCAGATATCTATCGTTGATGAGACGACTGCCAAATGTCATTGAATGAACGTCGTTACCCGGCAAATACATATATGTAGAGCAATCACTGCCTGACTACCGCAGCGTAGCAGTCGAAAGGGGTGTGTGTGTTGACACTTTCGAACCTGCGTGCTGGATACAGCATATACATCCGCCAGCTCTATAGTCTCCATGGCTCTTCCAACCGGAAGAAATAATGCGGGTGATAGGTTGTGTATACCACTAGACTGTGTACTCCAGTTCACCGAGCTGCCCTACAACTAATCATGCACATACCCATGTAGTCTAATGTATATCAGCGTGTGTGTGTAGTCCCCATGAATTTGGCGACGTGCACAGTAGTGTCTTGGTCGTAGCAATGCGTCAGCAGTGCTGCTATGGTCAACGCCGATGTCACCGAACCCGCTGTGTAGCCAACACAGCATCCGGCTCGGAAAACACATACATACGTACATGTACATACATGTGCTTTTTTTTTTACATGTACCTTGTATCGTCTTTTCCGCTTACGCCTATTGTAAGGTTCCAAGTTGCGTAACCCGGGCGGCACAACGTAGCGAGGTTGGCAAGGTTAGAAAGCACAACTCGCCGGGTTAGGGTACACGATAAAAGGCCAACAGAGTGTACGTATACGCGCGAGAAGGCGCGAAGAAAATGTGCGATGTACTCCGCATCTGCCAAACCGCGACCCGCGGCGAACAAGTTGACCGGCTGCCCAAACAAAAACAATACTCACGTACTCCCTACCCCCACGAAAACAAAACGCTTAGGCGTTGGCAGCACGACCCCACCTCCCTTCCCTCATGTATCGAGAAGCAACGCGGCCGCGAAGCTCACGCCACAGAGCAGGTTCTGACCGCACACGTAGACCACCAGCATCGAACAGCATGCAAACAAACACCACGGAGACCTTGTGTTCGGTCAAGAGTTGATTGAGCCAAAGAACCGAGTCGTTACGCAAGGATACTTCCTCAGACGACGGTCTACTATCCACCCGATGCAGCAGATAGGAGCCTCCAGGGTGGGCTAGGGCTAAGGGATTTGAGTAAACGGGCATCACCGGCATTCCGGTTGGAAGAACCAAGGAAAACACGGAGCGAAGCAACTCCCAAGAGAAGGGAAAATATAGCAGGGGAAAGGCACCAGCAGCCCCCACACTTTGAGGGGTGAATCTCGCCCCTCACGTGCTAGGTCCTCCCCAACAGCAAGACACAGCAAGCTCCGAGGGACCACCAGAGACAACAAACAGGAACCTTCCATCGTCCCAGCGCATGCACTACACAAGACCACGTGGAGGGACAGCAGTCGCGTCCCTGAGGATAAAAACATTTCCGTGCCAGCATCAGTGTGCATCCTAAAACGAGCATGAAAGCCCCGCACTGATAAAATCATATAGAGTCTTGAGAGCGAGAAGGAGCGGGCATCGAAGCGTTCCCCTGGGTTCCCGTCCCTGGTTGTGGTCCTTTATGTTGCCAACAACAAATCGCCCCCCATGTCTCAATTCTCCCTACGCCCGCCTTTCCAAATGTCGCTGTAGTGGCCGACGCGCAATCGATCTACAGGCAAAGCTCCCGAGTTTCTCGTTGGAGCCCCTCGTGGGATATAAGTGACTCAGGACTGCTGGCGGAACAATTTGTGAGCGTGCAAACGCGCCACAATGTTCAGAAATCCGAGCATCGCCCCTTGCGCTCCCAATCGCCGAATCTCGTGGGTTCGCCCAGCACCCCTCCTCGTGTCGGGCCGCCCCACTCCTTACCGGCCGGCCCCTCCTGCAGCATCTCTTCCATCTCTTCGTCTCCAACATCATCTGCAACGTGGGAGCACAAAATACAAAATTCAGAAGGCACACGTCGAGACGCTCCGCGTTGTTCTGATGATCAGTCATGCTAGATTCATCGGCAATGTCCTTCGCGAGGAGCACGCACAATCGCACGCGTCTTTTCCCGGCTCTGACTCATCGCAGCGTCGACCACGCACGCCCTTGATCTGATTGTGTGCCAGCTAAGAACGGGTAGCCTTGGGGCAAGGATGCTTTACTATTCTGAAAGAGGACATGTAGCCAAGGTTTCGTGGAAGACGAGAGTGGCAAGCAGATGACGCGGGCTTTCGCGAGTTGGCACGCTTGTCCACAATGGTTTTCGGGGGGTAGATCATGGCGTGAAACAGCGCAGGCGGGGAATCGAAATCGGTAAATCAACCAGGAAGAGGCGAACAAGGCCCGTACATGCCAGTTGCGATGATTCAAACCATGACCATGAGAGCCACACGGCATCCAAGACAGCGAACGATAGCTCCGAACAACGGCCATGATCAGGCGGGTTGGGGGGTCTTGGTCTCGCATCGATACGCTGCGAACTCAGCGAGCAATGTGTGATTGCATGCTGCGTGCTGATGTAGGAACGCCGAAACAGCGGCCGTTGAACTGCGTTTACAAAGAAAGAACTTCACGGTGATGACTCTTTCTCTCTCAACTTAGAGCAGATCTCGCTCGAACAAAGTATACCGTGCTCTGCTGGATGTCAGCTTTCTGTCAAGCTCTTGTTCGCATCGCTAAGCGGTCTGTAGGTGGCTAGACGAGTACCGAAATGGAGACATGTACGATTCGGCGAGGGTGTGGCAGCCAGCTTGATGTTCCGGTTGGCATTTTCGATTTTCGATTTCGAGTCTGTTGGTGCTCGCTTTTGATTTTTCCATATCGGAGAATATTCGGAACACTTACCCCCACTTACCCCCAGATCAACATCCGGCGGAACACTGGAGCTTTGTCCAATCAGTGACATTTTCGATTTTCGATTTTCGATTTCCGACGGAAAATGTGTCTGACAAGGTCCACCCTGAGCACAGAGGGGGGGGACATCGTCCCTCTAGAAGGGGCCACAAACGTCCTGTTCCCTGTTTTATCCTTCCATCGGGAGTTACATCTCCCGCACTTTCCTCAGGGAGTTAATTACTCCGCAATACGGTTGATACTTGCTACAATTGAAATCCCATATAACATACCATATTTTTGCATACAAAAAACATATATACATTGTACCACATTCGAAGAAGAACAATGGATGCATGTGAAGGTGGGACGGATCGAATGAATCCAGACAGGAGCAGCGCGTGTGTGTGTGTTTTCAAACGTTCAGAGAAAGATGGATACACGTAAGCACACACAGCCAAACCATCACGCAGTACAACATACACATACGTATTGCACCCACCACGACGGGGGGGAAACAAATTAAACGAAAAAGACAGGTGAACGGAAAATAAAACCCGTCCGGTCACCGCTCTGCACTTTCTAATGTCCGTCGGTACTGGTCCAACTGACGCGGACGCCTTCCGTGGTCACCAGCCAACTGTTTCACCAAAGGGGGGGTACACCTTTCAAAGAACAAAAAAGAAGAATTGACACCAGAAAATATTCCTCCAAGGCGCGATTTGTTTTTCCACCTAAACGAAAAGAAAAGCTTTGGATTCATAGATGGATTCGTTGGGTCATACTGACAAAACAAAAAAAAGAAACAACTAAAACGAAACAAGGCCAATGACCGGGAAACAGACGATCAACCCCGGCCAAAAAGGTGCAGACCTATTTTGTCGTCACTATTTGTTCTACGTTCACATGCATACAACCGGTCGCCCCGGTGGTCTAGTTGGTAGCCTCGTAACCTTCTAGAGGTCAGGTCAGGGGTTCGAATCCCGGCGTAGGCGAGCATTTCTCGCAAAGTGAGTTTTTCTCTCGCTTCCGCTCCTGGCCAAGTGGATAGCGCTAGTTCGTGTGTACACAGAGGGAAGGGAGTGCTGAATTCTTCTCGCATTAAAAATTGAAGGCGAAGTACCGCAGGAGGGGAGGGTAGAGAGAGGCTCTTCTGTGTGACCACAGGTTGGAATAAACGGCACTAGTGCTGTGAGCGCTGATTTGAAGTGAAGAAAAAAAAAAAAAATACAACGTCGTTCTATGTTCGGTCCAACGTTCCAACTTTGTGCTGTGCTGCTGCGGGTCGTGGGTGCTCGTTAGCTATATACCACAGCGTTTGTTTGCCTGTGCCTCACGAAGGGTGAGAGCCAGGAAGGAGGTGCAATATCGCAATATGAGCAGCCAAGAACAGAGCAGCAGAATAAACAGAAGCAGCAGCACAGCGGCACAAACGTGGGCGTCGATGACAGCAGTAGAGAAGAGAAAACCAACAAATAGGCGGCGGGTGTTATTCTGAGTTGAAGAGAGGGCAAATAGGACCTACCGACAGACAGCTAACTTCGCACCATCAATCAGCCGCGGGCCATAACGGCGTCCCACCTCTTAGATTGCTACGGCTTGAGTGGCCTACCCGTGGTCAGACCTTTCTCGCGGGCGGGCGTGTTTTGTGTTGTTCCTCCAGCGTGCAGCAAAAGCGCAACCACGGAGTACAGACGTGCGTTTTCGAAACTGCTGTATACTGTATACGGATACCTGTGACCAAACAAGGTGTCTTTCGCTGTTCTACCCGCTCCTGCTGTGCTAGAAAGAAAATAATGTTGAAGAACATGAAAGGCTCTAAGTCGAACAGCCGCCTGGAAACAGAAGGAAAAATAACACCCCAACAGCCTCCACCACTAACGACCAGCCAACACGAATGAATGACTGTTCTTACATGTACTGCGTGATGGTTAGGCTGCGTGTGCATACGTGGATCCGTCTTCCTTTGAATGCTTGAAAACCACACGACACACGCGCGCTCTTGTCTGGGTTCACATGCATCGTTATACTACATACCCCTATTTATACGCAATTTTGCTTCTATTCTATTGCGTGGCCTCTTCTTCTCTCCGGAACGTGCGACACGCACACGCAACAGATGATGCTACGGTCACTGCCCTACATACTGTTTGTATGCTAAACGCGCGAATATGAATACAACGCTTATTCGCCCGCCTGTGGCAAGGGTGTTAGCGTTTCCTGGGCGACAAAAACGGCTCTGATGAATGAACAAGTCGTTTCGGCGGCCTGGAATCCGCGGCGGTCCGAGACTCAGCATCAGAACAAGGCAAAGAAAAGTGTTGCGAAGTGCGGAAGGAACGAAAAGCGCTTTCTCTTATATTAAATGTCTCTGTTTGCTCTTTGCATGTTCTTGCATCACCCCCTGCCGCGGTGCTCTCTTTACCCCACTCCGGAGGGACGCCTTGTGACTCTAGCAAAATAGAAGTAATAGACGGCAAGCGCTGACTCCTGTTTGCTCGTTGTGCTATCGTGCAGTGCACCTTAGCGAGATCACAGCCTCCCCTTGAAAACCATGAGGAAGAATGGTGGGTCACGATAATGCATTAGGTCTATCTTCCCATGTAGAGAACTTGACATGACGGGTTGAGTGGACACGTGGCCACAGCAGTAGCTGCTCGTGCACACCAGAGTTACAAGCTAGAGAGTCAGCGCGTGACACACATACAGACGCATCGCACTGCTTGTAGAAGCCACTACCATACTTCGAGTTTTATTACATACGACACAACATATGCACAAAACCCACATCACACCGAGTCCACACCTTCGATTTCTCCGCACAAGTCTAGCTTCACGGGACCCTGCTGTCCCGGCCTGTCTCCCGCCCCCGCCTTGGTTTCCGTCACCGTCACCCCGTGCGCAGCGGAACCCGTCGAAGGTGCGGGAAATCTGCTGTCTCCAGACGCGGAGGACAAGCAGCGATGTCTCGCGAAGATGATGGCGCGACATGCCCCAGGCCTTGCCATCGAAGAGTGGCGCAGAAAATGGATGATACGTTGCGAACCAAGCGACATGCTGCTGTTTGTACGTGTGTCCTTGTGGACAGAGGGCAGAGCGCGAAATTTGACGGGCCGGGGCGGGACTGTCGCGTGGGTTTTGGGCCGGGAGCTCCGTGGTTCAGGGAAGAAGGAGGGGGGTGCTCAACATGAAACCAGACGCGGGCGGCCGAACCGGGCTGTGGGTGTAGCAGCGTGATGCTGGATGCTGGGCAGTGCACACTCCCGCACACGCAACGAGGATTCGCTTGACGGCATTCTCGCCAAAAAGGACGTACGTGCTTGTATATGGTTGATGTTTACAGGTGAGCCACGCGAGAAAAGAGCAAAGAGGCGCATGTATTTGAATATGCATACGTAGTATGCGAAGTAGTAAATTATGCGAAGGACAATGTACAATGCAACGCCACGATGGATGAGAAAAAACCTCTGTTCTCTGTTCTCAAATTCCGAAGTATTTGCGTATTCATGCTGTATTCCATCACACCTCAGAGCTAACCGCCCTTTGACGTGGGGAGGACGAGGTGCATGAGTTGTGCAGCACCCACACTTCCTGTTGGACAGGATTGCGTGGCGGTAAACGGAAACGGTGCAAACGCGCAAACTCACCGACATGTATGCATGCGGCATGTTGTACTTGACCCACACCTGATTCCTCCGCCCGTCGCGTTCTACCTTCGCTACTGCTGCTGTACTTGTCGTCACGTGTCCGCTGGGGATACCTGCAGCCTCGACAGCAAGGAGCAGCAGAGAGTAGCGAAGGCTCTCCGACAAGCCCTGGGCGAGGATGTAGAGGTTTCTTCCCCCCCGCCCCTCTTGCGATCAGAGCTAAAGGTAGCTATCTGGTAGGATGAACCTGCTGTCGGTGCGTCCCACGTATGCAACTGCTGCGTGTGTACTTCGTACTCCTGTACAAACGTTCTACCCAGCAATGGCCTTACCTGCCTGAACCCTGAAGGGTATTCCCGGGACCTCTAGGGCTAGTTCGTCTTTTGGGGACATTTTCGTCCCCGTCTTCTTCACCCGCTTTACCTCGCGAAGAATGGCATGGTTGTCTCCTCCTTTGAAGTACAGTACACTCGACGAAGGGGGCGCCGGGGTACACGGGGACAGCTAACTCGATCTTCGCAGCTGTAAACGTGGTAAACGTATAACGTGTGTCGGCTTGATAATCACGTTGTACCCCCGTTCGGACAAGCAAACGCCCCCCCCCCCTTTGTTCGCTGTTTTGTTTCTTCCTACATGTATGTTCATCAACCGATCGTAGGGTATCAAGCTTCGCGAGGACGGACGGGACGGCGGGCGATTAATATTGCTATGCCACTACAATGAGGGCCGAGTTCTTCTGACGGATGAGGATGGCATGTACAATGATTTTATTATGGAGGCGTGCAGGGTGACAGGTGAAAGAATTTTTGTTGCCGCAACACGATATTTATCGTGTGCCCGATGTTGGAAATTGCTTATTGACTTGAAAATGTATACGTTAGTTAAGTCCGGCTCTGTGCGTAGGTCCCCGGTTTGACAGCTGAACGGCTATGTAGGTTTCTGTACTTATATTACGTTGTACAGGCAGCATCCAGTCCAGCATGCATTGTTGTACCCCACCCCGTCTGATGCTTTGCGCTTGGGGCTGTTCGCATGCCTTCCTGGTGGGGAAGAAACCCGACGCACTGCTGTGTCCCCCAAGTGGCGGGTGGAATGCGAGGCTACTTGCCATCCGTCGAACTGCGAACAGCGGTCCCTTCTAGAGGGTGTGGGGTGGCAGTTACTTCCTTCATTTTAATTTGGTGGTGGCGTTTTGGTCGATTTCCAAGCCCGAAAGGCTGGGGGTGCGCTGTTTTTTTTTCCACACAGCCCCGCCTTTGTAATGTGATCGGAAGAATACGTCCACGGCCCGTAAGAGGGTTGTCGACCGGTCGAAATGTAGAAACTGACGACGTGTATTTTATTTGTTGGCTTTTCCTGCCGGGCCCGCATGGACACCACCAACTGGTGCACGTAAGAAATGCAGCCGCGGAGACGCAAGGATTTGTGGCCAGGTTGGAGCAGTGTGATTATTCCCTGTCGTTCCGAGAGGGAATGTTGCGCGGTCACCGATCGAACTGGCGCACGATCAAGCAACGAGCCAGGACGAACCCCCCTCGGACAATAACATCTTCCATCTTGTTGCGAAAATTGACATGTTGGCGTGTTCGCGGACGTTGACGTTGACAGGGGGCAACGTTTTCGTGGCTTTGGCACCGGTGTCTACCTCTGCGACGTCCTTGGCGAACGAGACGCTGGTTACGGCGTTAGCGTATAGGTAAGATGGGCGTCACAGCTGCTAATCTGATCAACCTCAACACCATGGACGGATAATGACGACGGGCGCCCACCTCGAGAGCAAGTATAGAGAACATGTAGGAGGATAAAAAACTTGTTCCATCGGTATCCCAACGGCAGTAAATCACACCAGCCCGACTACGCAGCACCTGCTGCCGCAGCAAGCTCTTGATCGTACCCCGAACGTTGGGCGAGGTTGGTTCGTGTAGCAACACCTACGTTGCGTCGTTCTTGCGCGGGGTAGTTTGGTTGGCCTAGGTGATTGGCATTAGCATGGGATGTAGATAAGGGGTGCGGTGGATTCAGGTAATGCCTTCTTTTTGGCTCCGCTGCGCAGGGCACCCTCGCTGACGGCGATTTGGCGGACACGTTCCCCGAACATCTATTCTGATGGATTGGTTGATCCTTGCGTGCGAACAACCATAATCGGCGTACTCTCCCTTCGCCACCCTTCCTTGCTTTCGTAACGTTCCCTGCTACTATTTTCAGTGGCGGTCAACAAGGGCTGCTGTCGATCCACATCCAGAAGCGATTCCTCACGTGGAACAAGGCCCCAAGCGAGGCCCAGGTGAAATGCTTCCGGCCCCCCCTGGATGGGACCAGGGAACCTTTTTCGGTGAGCTTTTTTTTTTGGAATAGGCGGGGGGGGGGGGGGGAGATCTCATGATCATGCTTTCGCGACGGCCAAGAAACCTCGCATTCCCGGTCGCAGGGCACCCGCGGATCCTGCAGCCCATGCGCCACACGCCGAAATGTTGAATCCACTCTGGTGGGATGGGTGGTGGTGGAGAATTTTGGGGGACGGTAGTTGCTGCTTGCTCTGGTTGTTTGACCATCGGCCGTGTTGTCTGTCGAAATGCAGCATAGTTCTTGCTGGCGCCAGATACACCACATACGTGCGTGCATAGTATGAGAGCAGTGGGAATACTCTACAAGAGAGGAGCGGGTCAGAGAGAGAGAAATAGACAGAGACAGAGAAAGCGTCAGGGATTCCAGATGCAGCGCAGTGTGAGGCAACGCGGCATCAGATGCGCGTCTAGCTTCTCGCGGGGACCGCACCCAGTCGACGGCCCCGTCTCTAACAGCCAAGAGAGGCAAAGACTATTCTTATCGTACGCTGTTTGTTGTGCTTTTGCCGTCTTTCTCGCCGACCACTGACTGGCGCTCATGGCACAGGTCCCAGAATCGGTCCTGGAGCACTCGGAGGGGAGACAAGGAGGCAGGGCATCCTCCTTCTGCAACATATTGTAGCTTTATGAACAAATGTGTTGCGCTTGGGCGCCGTCTTCGGCAGCAGAGAAAGGCACGCAGAGGGGTTGGCCTCACGTTTGGGCGGAGCTAACCAGTGGCTACACACCGTTTAGCAGGGTGCCGAGCTTGGCATCGCTGTAGAAAGCGCTGGGGAAGATGTCATATCCTGGACTAGACGTCTGTATGACATCCTTTCTCTGGGTATCAGCTCAATTTTGGCACAAGTCATGTAAGTTGGCGAGTCATGCGCGGAGGGGGATGAGCGCTGTGCAACGTTACGAAGCCTCGCCCAGAATACTGCTGCGAGAGTGTTCTGCTGTGGGACATTGCTCGGGTCCATGATGTGACGAGTGATTTGCACGCGGAAGGGCGGAACATGCGGAAGGCCACGGAAATAGGAGTACTCTATACCAGGTAGACGTTTGCTGCTGACCGGCTATGTCGAGAGCTGCTGCAAGAAACGAGAGTTCAAGGCTTCGACACGACGTGCTGTTCATTGCTACAGTATACGTCGAAGGCCTGGTTTTTTCGTTCGCAACGTATCTATCTGCGATGTACAGGAGCCAAGGGGGGCGGGATGGCGCGTCCAATACAACTTGTAACTATGCATACGTTATTTGTTGGTTATTTGTAGATTGCCGTGGGCAACGGCTGTTTCCCCAATTGAAGTATAATCTGTGGACGAGGCGAGCCGTAGTTCGTACCCCTGCGTCGGGATTGTCACGCGCTGTCACCGCCAATAGCACAAGAGGCAACGGCCTACTGGGATTCCGTGAGCTCAGAGAAGATCACAGTCACTTCACTTTGCGCTCCGAAAACCTGTCGTTGACCGGTCGTGAGAGGGCTGCCTCCAATCCTCCACTCTTGTGCCGTAGGATGTGTGCGCCAAAATTCTGTCACATCGCAAACACCTGGAGACTCGTTTTTTTGAGTCGCGTCAGGAACCCCAATGTTCATTTGGCGCACATGTTCCAAGTGCAGTCCATTCAGTGGTTTGTGGCAATGCGAGGAAGTGGCAGCACAGCGGAGGACCAGCTTTCCATCACCCAATCAGGCTTCCCACATATTGTTGAAAGCAAGCCGACGAATATCGTCGGCGTTGCTAGTCCCAAGCTTTATATTTTTATTTTAGTCGCGTGTTGCGCGTGTGCTGACACCACGAACGGGAAGGACCTTAATTAGCCGACACACTACGCAATAATGGTCGTGATGGACGCGGGTACGCAATAAAAAAACAACACATACATCCGATCCTCGGGAATCACGAAATGCAACGTCTACATACACACGGTAGGCACTCTGTCTGTCCCTTTAACACGGTACGTACTGCTTTTGCCTACCACTCACTCTCTCTCGTCCTCTCGTCCGCATCAACAACAAACAATGCAACTTGCCGCACAACAAGAGCCATCCCTGCAGGAAAAGCTGTACAAACAAGCAAAAAGCAGCTCCTGCTGCGGTAAGCTGCTGCTGTATGTACCATTTTTCAGCACGCACGAACAACAGATACAGCACAGGCGAAAGAGCTGAGTCTGCCTGTCTGTGTCTGCGTCGGCGTGAGTAGGGGTGGGTGTGAGGTATCGATAGAGTAACGACAGGATGTTTTTTTATGTTTATTCTTCTTAATATGACACAACGAATCCATCTCCATCATAGAAAAGAGTCTGAGACAGATTAGCAATGAATTCATTGTGTATGGCATCTCGACGAGTATCGTCGCGTTGCCTGTCTGAAGCTTTCGATTTTTGCAGCGGGTAACAATCAAGGTAGACACCAAGAAGATGCCCGATGAGCACACAGGAACCGGGGGACCCCAAAAAACAAAAGCATGAAAAACAAAAGAAAGAAAGAAGCGAGAACAAACGAGTCAGACGCGACAGGCTTCAGGGAGGAGGCAAAAGAGCGCATAGAAGAAAAGCACCGTCGCCGCTCGCTCCGGACCGCTGGAAACTCTCACATAGCACTACATATGGAGCAAATATTAGGTAGGGCCCAAGTCCATTGCTTGGCATAACGCCCATCGCTTCACATGCAGCAGCCGGATGCACGGGTAGCCTCTTACTCAGCAAAAAGCGAAACGACTGCGGTTGGTTGACGTTCGATGTTGTTGGGACCCTACCGGCGAAAGGCGAGAGAGAGAGAAAGAGAGGTAGACAAAAATACGAGAGCGGAGAGAAGACAAGGCATTGACCCTCTCGAGAAGAGAAGGCATTGACTCTCTCGAGAAGAGAAGGCATTGACTCTGTCGAGAAGACACTCACTCTCGTCCCTCTGGCCCGCCGCAGGCTGTCAGACATGATGTCACGTTGTGTATCGAACGGCGATATCCGATGTCGGCTCAGCAACAGCAAACAAGCACAACAACAAACAAATATAGTCAGTCGCCGTGTGCGAGCTGTGGACTACTATCTTGTTGTAGGAAGTGAGAACTAAAAAGAGCACGACTACATAGCACCACGGACGAACTATTATCGCAATACGCTTGCCGTCCGCCATAGATGCGCACCGCTGCACGAACGAGCTGTTGGTTATCATACCTCACTACGTAGTATCTAAGATTGTGCTGCCATCTAGCTTACCTATCGCTCAAATTACGACTACGCAGCAGACTCAAGGCAAGGAAGCAACACGCGTGCCGATGCATACCAACCATGCATGCAGCAAAACAAAACAAGGCGGACCGTCTGTTGTTGTTTGTCTCTTCAACTGACTGTGCTGCCGACAACGACACTGGAAAAAAGTAGGAGACGCGCATCGCCTACGCGAGCAACGCGTGCAGCCCAAAAAAACAGAGACGATAACCTTACGACCTTTCTTTTCAGCACATTCATTCCGAGCATATACTGCAGCAACCGCAAGTATGTGTACAGCAGCAGCCGCATGTTGTGTACAACAACGGTCACTCAGGAAGAAAATCACAACAACAAACAAACGCAAAAAAAAAAAGGTGGTGGCGCGCAGCACGCAGGACCCTCTTTCGCTTTGAACCGGCCATTCCCATGGCGAAACAGACAAGGTACAGCAGTGAAGGCCGACTCTTGCCGGCCCCAGGAGGCGGAAGCTGCTACAACTCGGGGACGGGTCATGATTTGCGATTGATTCCTCACCGAACGGATATCGAACGATGACACTACTGTTTCAACTAGCTTCAGAAAAGCTTCAAAATTAATTGTGAAACTTGCATAGAGATGGCAAGTAAACACCCCGTTCCAAAGAATATCTGTCGTTGATTTTTATTGACTTGCGGACCTTTCGGGGCCAGTTTGTTTTAGCGTACCTCTTTAGGGTAAGTTAGCCTGTGACCACGGGAATCGACCGCGTCAAGTGTTGGATCAGTACGCACATATGAAGGTACTGGGTAGAGAGAGATCTGAACGGTTTTTAATGCGAAGACAACAACAACAACAACAACAACAACAACATTTAAAACTGAACTAATGGGTGGTGGGCGGATGACCGGCGGACCCCAAAAAGCAAGCGGAAAAATAAAATATAGACTATGTTAAGAAAAAAAAGAAAAAGAAGAAGGGACGACAAAGACAAGTGAGCCAGACGCGACAGGCTTCAGGGAGGTGGCAAAAGAGAGCATACGAAAACCACCGTCGCCGCTCTGAACCGCTGGAAGCTGTCACATAGCACAGCATGCAGCAAACATTATAGGGGCCATGCCCCCGTTGCTTCAAGTAAAGAGGCAGCGCCCATCGCCTCACATACAGCAGCCGGGTACGTACTACACAAATAGCCTCTTACTCAGCAAGAAGAAAAACGATTGCGGTTGACGTTCGATGTTGTTGGGACCCCAACGGCGATAATAGGAGAGACAGGTGCTACTACTACGTAGATCAACAGAAGAAAGCGTAGAGAAGGCATCAATTAACTCTCGAGACCCTAACCGAAGACACTCACTCTCGTCCCTGTGGCCCACCGCAGGCTGTAACGAACGACGACATCCGATGTGTGCTCAGCAACAACAAACGCAACAAACCAAATATAGTCGCCGTTTCCGAACTAACTGTGGAGACTCTCTTTCATCACTTCTTGTGGTATGAAGTATGAAGTGACAACGAAATAGAAAATGATGACGAGAAGCACCACGGACGAACTATTTTCTCAATACGCTTGCCGTCGCGATAGACGCGCACCGTTCCACGAACGACCAGTTGTCAAACCTCACTACGCAAATAAGATTGTTGTCCTGCCATCTACCCCTTATCGCTCAAATTACGACTACGCAGCACACTAAAGGTAAGTAAGGCAGCAACACGCTTGCGATGCTTTACCACCCATCCATGCATGTAAGAGAAGAAAAAAAAAAGGGTATGGCGGACCGTCTGTTGTCTGTATCTTCAACCGTGCTGCCGTTGCTTTTCTTCATGGATATCGGCACAGAGAAAAAATGAGGAATGCGCATCTCCTACGCGAGCACGGCGTGCAGCCCAAGCGACAGAGACGATAACCTTATGACCTTTGCAGCATCTTCCGAGCATAACAGCAGCCACCGCATGTGTACAACGGTCACTATAGACTAAGGAAGAAAATCACAAAATCACTGGTTATCGCCCCACAGCGAGCGATAGCTGCTCAAACGACTGTGAGAGGTCTTGAAATCGTCTCAGCTACCCAGAACTGCTGGTAGTTGCCGGAGATTTGCAGGTACGTACTGCTTTTGCCTACCACTCTCGTCCTCTCGTCCGCACATCAACAACAACAATAAATGCTAATTTTCGCACCACAAAAGAGCCATCCATGCAGAAAGTTGCAACAACAGAACAAAAGCAGCTCTTGCTGTATGTACACAGAATGTCCAGCTGTGTGCTGAGGTCGGTCAGCATCTCGAGAGAAGCGTAGCCAGCAAGCAAGGCTTGGCGCGGGACACGAGAGAAGCAAGCAAGGCTTGGGGCGGGCGGCGAAAAAAAGAAGACGACTCTATATAAAAAGATCTGTAAAAAGAAGGGTTGGCGCGGGCGGCGAAAAAAATGAAGACGACTCTTATACAAAAAGATCTATAAAAAGAGGACCCTCAACGACAAGTCAACCAATCTGGTCGTTCCGATGTGACGATGTAACGCAGATCTTCTTGTCGACGGAGAAACTGGTTATCGCCCCACAGCAAGCGATAGATGCTCAAACGACTGTGAGAGGTCTTGAAATCGTCTCAGCTACCCAGAACTGCTGGTAGTTCTCGGAGGTTCGCAGTGTGGGCTGAGATCGGCCTTTTCGACCCGGTCGGGCAAGGGGTCCGCTATGCTACTGAAAACTCCACAGACGGAAAAAAAAGACTTTTGATAAACTGGTTATCGCCCCACAGCAAGCGATAGATGCTCAAACGACTGTGAGAGGTCTTGAAATCGTCTCAGCTACCCAGAACTGCTGGTAGTTCTCGGAGGTTCGCAGTGTGGGCTGAGATCGGCCTTTTCGACCCGGTCGGGCAAGGGGTCCGCTATGCTACTGAAAACTCCACAGACGGAAAAAAAAGACTTTTGATCGACTGAGACCCAAGCTAGAGCTTGGGAATTACCGGGACTCTTGTGTTGTGTGATGCAGCAGCCGATCATCGATACAAGTACAAACTCTTCCAGCAGGAGGCCACTGCGCAAGTCACGTCTATCTATGCACGTGTTCGTGATAAAACTGACTTCTTATATTCTTTTGTTTTTCAATTAAATTTACACAGAACATCCGTCATTATGGATCGTTGTTCGAGATCCTGTTTTGCAGCGAGTTCTGTCAGTACCTGGTGCTACGCTTTTGTCGGCGCTCCGGGGAAGGTTGACAAAACGAACTAGCCTAAATATTGCGTGTGCTGAATGCCTCTTTCCGGCTGGTGCCCCTATTCCCCTGCCTCTGATGCCTCCTCATTGGTTAGTTGCCGGCTTCGATGTTGCACACTTGAAAACGGCTTGTGCGACAGTTTATTGGGTCACCACCAGACCAGTGGATTTCACCGACGTTCGTGTTTGATCAAGAAAAAGTGGGTGCTTAGCCCGTACACAGCCATTTGATAAGAGGGAATACTAGACACGAACATACGCAAGACGCAAATGATGCGCTAGTGTAGAGTTTTTCACTCAACTTCGATTTTAACCTACCAATATCAACCACACATTTAACACACAGGGGTTTGCGTTCGTAACGCCGTGGCGTTGCTCATAATGTCGACCGACGGGTTTTACATGCGGCGCCCCGTCTCCTCGAATTTGCTCGCCTAACAAAAGGTAGCGACACCGAGAATGTCTTACTTCAGTGGGTAATTTGATATCGTCATTGAATCCATCCAAAACAACCTGCAAACAAGACAACAGCAGTGGACACAAAGAAGCCTGCCTGCACTTTCATGCCACGGGACACAACACCGACTGGTCTCCGACAGAAAAGTTCCACGGAAACGACGAACGATAAAAATCTCCTCCCTCCACCTGTCTGACTCCGTCTTGCGCCATTCCCCCTTCTTCCCGAAACACAGCAAAACAAACACGCCTCCTCAAATGGAAGGTTTAAGACCAGCGCCGCCAGGGCGCGATTGGTTGTGGCACTCCACAAAAGGAGGGAGAGGACTGAATGATGTAGTTTCTCGTCGCAAAAGCCCCTCGCCCCCTGCGCACACTAGTCCTGCTAAGAACCGAAAGTTGCACCAAACTTGACCATCGCCTGAAATCGGCAAGTTACGCAATTGGTCTGTGGTCCACCAAATGAGCGCAAGGCCCATCAAACGCCCACATCCCCTCCTTCGCCTAAAACAAACGAGCACAACCTACGACCTCCCCACCCTGCTGCGCGTACCGGCTTATAATTTTACAGGTAAACACGGAAAGAGGCCCGATGACAGCACGACACACGAAAGGTCCCCCCCCTCTTTCCCCTTCACAGAAATCAAATGTAAGCCGTTCGAAACTATGCCCTAGACACCCGAAGGATATCCCCGTGCCCTGTTGGCGCAACGGCCGCGGGTTTGAAGCAAGACGGGGGTCATCACTCGGGCTGTGGCCAATCAAATCAATCTCGCTCCGAATTACAAATACATTCCGAGCTCGCAGCTTACACGTTGAGCTCGCTGGGCGACACCCAGTTCGGGCTCTCGGTCAGCTCAACCTGTGATGGACAGAAAAGCAGGAAAAAAGGTTCAAAATGAGCGAGCACAAGGACCGGGGAAGGAGAGAGAGAGCACAAAGGTGAAAATCAACCAGACACGGTAAGGAATAGGCAGTTCTCCGCATGGTGGGTGCCCACAAAAAAGTATCTGTCGACAGACGCGCACGCAAATATAACAACATTCACTGGCCGAAGGCGCAAAAGGGACTACATGTACACAGCAGAATACAGCTGTTTTTCTTCTCAAAAAGGATTTGAAAATAGGCCTATTTTGGGATTCACACTCAGCGCGTTGAGCATGATGTTTGTCGACTTTTGGCCCCCGTCCGAGACCTCGTTTTTTCACGCCGGCACTAGATATTGTTTCATTGCCCAGCCGGCTAGCGCGCGTTCGATGCCTACGAATAAAAAGCACACTTTTGTCACCTTGAGGCTTGGCGTGTTGGTGATCCACTCGTTGATCTTGCCGGTTCCCGACAGGAACTCCCTGAACACGGACCCCTCCGGTGCCAAGCTGGTCAGCTCGGGCACGTCCTTGGGCAGGCACACGCCGCCGTACGGGGCGCCGACGCGAAGGCCGTACTTGCGGCTGAGGAAGCACTCGGCCGTGGAGGACACCAGATAGAGCACCTGACGGATTCATTCATTGAAATTCATTCGGGGGTGGTGTGAACTCACGACGACAGACTTGCAAGAAACAAAAAACACATGGTTTGCTCATTCTGGCCAAAGGACTACGGCCTGCATGACTATGCCCGCGCCCCTCCCGTTTGCGAACATCCATCGCCAAAAACCGTTCTCAGACTCGCACACAAAAAAGAGACGATTATGTTTCGCGCAGTGGCGTACTTGACTCAAGATGGTGAAACAACAGCACACCAAAAATAATGTTTGCATCGTGCCATCATTAATTCTGTATACCAGCCGAGCAGTTTGTGCAGCACTCCCAATAACTCCTCGTGTCACCTTCTGCGCATCGATCGAGGGGTCGAGCTCGTGGGCGAGGCCGTAGATGCAGTTGGCGAAAGAGATCTTGAGACCGTTAGCGTAGCTGAGGGGATGAGGCGGAGAGGGTACATCCAGACATTGCAAGAGCAAGACAAGAGAGAAGAAGAGCAAAGAACGGGAAACACAAACGAAGACGTTGGCAAGACGCTGACAAAAGGCACACCAGGCTGTGTGATGTGACTGGAACAGCATGCATGCAAAAGCAGCAGGAAGACACACAAACGGCGCGCTGCCTATCTTGACATTGAGAACGGAGCCTCCCTTGCCGTTCAATCATACAGCAGAAGCACTCTTTCATCGGTAGTGTTGACAAAAGGGAACGTTGGGATACAGACCAGATGCCAAGGTTCTATCGGCACCGGCGGCTCGATTTGAATGACAGAACTCTGAACACAGGGTCACAGCTTCGTGCTCTACTCGGCATATTGTTTGAGTGTAGCACAAGCACGCTTTCGTTGTAGGGCAAATACTTTTCCTCACACCGAGTGCCTATCAAGAGTTTAAAGGAGGGTACTTGTGTGCTATGCATATAACCTTCAAGAGAAGAAATGAGGAGCGTTCGACGGGCTGTGTGTGTGTGTGGGGTCTCACTTGTGGACGAGCTTCATGAACTCAGCCTCGGCGATGGTCAACACCGTCAGCTTGTTCTCGTCTCTCCCCACGCTGTTCGTTTCCATTCCGTTTCCGTCAGGTTACGGCACCAAGGTTTCCGGCATGAAGAAGAGGGGGACACGGTACACACGGACGAAAAAAACAGCAAAAAAAAATGTCAGAGAACAGCGGCGACATGGAACAGCATCATCAACATCACGCCAGTTGTTGCCAATGATGACCACTCTGAAAAGAGTGTAAACACGCCCGTGCTATTTAGCCAAGTACAAGTCCGGAGTACAGTACTCGATTCACGGCGGCCCCACGGGCAAGGCGGCTCGCTTTTCGGCCCCACCGACACGATAAGTACAAGACGGTGTTAAAAAAAGACCAAGACAGGACTCGTTTGGAATCACCTCGACTCTACCTTAGCGCGGTCGACGTCCAGAGAGAGAGAGAGTCACTGGATGATAAGTCCTTACACCATGAGAGCCCAGTTCAACGCAACGATCATTCCCGCGAGCTTTACGCCATCACAGCCTCCACAAGCGAAAGGGGTTGGCAAGCTGCGGAGGATGCTGTATCCAACACGAAGGAGAGGTATCGTCTCCAGTCATCTCAGGAAATTCATACGAGAACGCCAACCTCTCCTTGTCACACATGGTGGAAAGTATCAGCAGCAGTTGGTCACGCAAGCTCCAGATTAAAATAGATAGTAGACCCGGAAAAAGAAGCATGACGTATTTCTCACAAGTCGAGGAAGCAGTTGGACATGCGGGCGCGGGTGTCATCCGCGTCCTTCGCGCAGCCGAACACGATCTGCCACGGCGCTCGGGCGTCCTCCTCGCAAGACACAGCGCGGAGGAACTCCGGCTGGAAGGCCACCTGTTGTAAGAAAAAGTACAAAACAGGAACAAACATAATTCAAATTTACGTATCATAAAGACGGAGACACCGGGTTGACAACTAGGACTAACCCTGTCGACAAGAAAAACAAGCAACTCGGTAAGCCCTGTTCCGTGTCGTTGTGTCCTCGCCATACCGCATGCAACAGCACTGTTGCGAGTTCCCTGTTACGTTCAAGGGGGCCAAGATGCCCCAATGTGCTTGACCCGCTCCCCTCCCCCCACCAAATAGTAACAAAAAGCAAAGATAAAGATTTAGGGTTCTGTTTCGTCTTTGCCTGGAAGGGCTTGTCGGTCTTCGCCCGCACTTCCGCCTCCCACTTGAGGGTGGTGCCGGGGGGCACCGTGGATCGGATGACAAGGATGGGGGTCAGGCCCGAGGACTGCTCGATGAGCTTCACCACCAGGGGGATGGTCGACCACACGTACTGCAGTGATAGACAAGGCAACGCGTTGGACAAGGCCAGAGCAAGGTTCGGCGCACAGGACAAGAAATGGGTCAGCTGCAGAAACGAATGGCCAAAGCGATACCATGTCTGTACATATTGTGTACGAAACGTTGATGTTTCCTTGCTGGGTGGAAGAAAATGAAACAGTTCGTTCGGTACAAACGTGAATGCGCACAAGCTTCGCCATATTTGGGTCTAACAAAACGAAAACGACAAGAGGGACGTCGAACAGAAAAGGTGAGGTGCTTCCATGATAGGCCTGTAACAAGGCACCCACGTGAGTCCAAGGAACGAAAACAAAGCAAGGAAGGGTGACCAAGAGAGACAGCGGAGCGCGACTGTTGCCACGAGGTCCATCGGCAACATGTGTATATTCGGTGTCGTTCCAAAACGCCACTCGAACCAATACTCCGAGAATGAGGTCTCTTGTCAAAACGGCGCCAAGACCAAACTCACGCCCTCGAAAAAGAAGTGTTGAGGCACACACAAACCAAGGCGGAGCGGTTTTCTTAGCACAGCAGGAAACACTTGTACCACAATAGATACAACTTCACACCTTCATGTCGAGGCGCTGGGTCTCCTTGATGAGAGGGGTGGGAACCGAAAGGAGCACGATGTCCGCGTTCAGGTCCGACGGGCAGTCGTCCGGGTGGAAGCACTTAACGCCCGCGTCGTTCATCTTGTCGATGATGGCCGGCACCACGTCGAAGCCGGTAAGGCTGTAGTTTGTCATTCGTTCGTGGTTGAGTGACAGTAGCAGCAGCGAGACGTTAAAAAGAAGCGGCAGTCCTTTCAGTTGAGGGGAACGTTTGAGGGGAACGTTTCAAGGGCAATGGTGGGGCGCGGCGAGGGGCGTTCCAGGGGGTTGTGTCCTACAATCGTGCTTCATATTTTCAAAGTATGTACAACCGTGTGCTTTCATGTCCAGTAGATGTCTGCTTGTCGGGAGAAGTCGGTCCGTCCCGACAAGAGAGTTAAGAGTGATCGGTCGATTAGGTTATCGTGAATCGAGGTAGGTACATGTGTTTTCCAAAAGAGAAAAGGCGATGCTTCCCGAGTGATTCAACGGCTAGTGAAAAACCAACTTACGAATGAGAAGATATCGCACGGTACAACACCACCAGGCAAATGTCTGTGTCATCATCAGTAGAGCAGTAGAGGGTGAACTTGTACAGAAACAAAGAGGCAGGTTGATCCTGTGTCACACGGGCTGGGTACGTCAAATATAACGCTGTCCACGGGACATTGCACCAAATCCCGGTGTTTTCAAAACAAATACAAGCATACGGCTGTACGCCGAAAGGTGCAGGCTGGCGAACAAAAGAACCCCCCGGTGGAGCGCCCATGCACGCAGACGCTTCGCGGGCCTAAAGCCCGAAGCAGGGAAATAGAACTGACTGCTGCTGTGCTCGGTATCGCACCCATGTCTTTAGCGACGCTGGGGTGGTTCTTTATCCCGTCACCGGGGAGTACGCCGTCCACGGGATATTGCACCAATTTCCAGTGTATCTACAAACACTCGTGTTTTGCAGGTGGTTTTATCCTTGTGGCAGGGAAACCGGTCCAATGACGCCAGCCCTTCGAACCCCACACGTCATAAATAGTGAGGTTGGGTGGATAAGGTTCTAGGTTGGTGTGCCGGCACAGGTGCCAAGACGGGACAAGAGCTACAGCGGTAGGTCGGTACGGCAACTGCTTGGTTCTGGCGTGGGTAGGTGTGGTGCCTGGGAGTAGTGCCAGGTCCCTGTTGGGTGGGACGTCCAACGGTCTGTCAAGGCGGGACCGTCAACTCGGCCGAGAGCGCGCGCCGAATGGGTGCATCTTTTATATATTTTTCCCCCTGGATACATCACCCTGTTTGTTAGAAAGTAAACATAACCTCACAGAAAGACTTGTACCTGTTCGAGATATAACCTCAGTCGAAAGGGATGTGGTCAACATCACCCTGCTTTTATTTGGCGATAGCGGCAAGTGTGTGGACTAAGCCACCGACTAGAGTCCATTTCCTTATACTTGCACTACCGGGGTAGAACTCAAGCACAGGCCTGCGGATGGGCCGCGACATGCGGCCACTTTCGGATTCCTTCTTTAGACGAGCATGATACAGCAGGAACCCTTGGCGGCATACAGCGGTATATACACCATGGGTATGCTGTTTTGGGCGGATTTAATGGGACACAAATAATTTACAACTTGTGATTCGTTGACGTATCCTATGCACGCTAGGGGGGACGACATGTCTCTTGAGCGTGTGCGGTGATGCTCTTAGAGGCGTTGTGCGTCGGCACGCCACCCTCGCGCTGCCGCTGCCGCTGCCTTGCCAGCCATGCACACCCAGCCGGTACTTGTAGATGTTGGTCTCTACGTAGTGAACTAAGACACCACGGCCGTAAAACGAACTTCTTTGAGCTGTTCGCGCTGTTTAGATGGCGGACGGTCATTTGGGGCGAAAAAGTCGACAACTTAGGGCTTTTAGGCTGAGCTTGCCAGCCAAATCCAGATACTGCACGGAGGGAGACATTTCGCTCGTGCCGAGAAGACGTGGCGGCGTGTAGTGCAGATTACGTTGTAACGACACAAACACACATCAAATATTCAGCCTGGGCGTTCTCGGGTGAACCAATACACGAACCAACTGCTGTGGCGTCTGGGGGTGCCTCAACCCCGTGCCTTGAGGACCACTTGACCTACTAGTAGCGTGTACGGCAAACAGCTGGCTGCGGGTGTGGGTGTCGGTTGACTCTACACGGAAGGAAAGAGCGGACCGGACAGACAGAATGACAGAATCGAGAAGACATGTCGACAAAGAGTTCTGAAATCAGGGGCATCATCAGTGCTACTGCTATGGATGAAGAGACGCGCTGACGGGGGACAAGTCCAAAGTGGGATTGGGTCCCGCTGGGTGCTCGTTTGCCTTGCTTACTGCTGCGCCAGCATACTTCTAGCGCTAGATTCCACAAGCATCGCTTTCATGTGTCTCGGTCGCGCTGGTGTCCAGCACCACACAGCAGCAGCAGGAAGGAACAAAAATTCGGCGAATTTAGCTTTTTGCTGACAACAACACGGATGACTCCAAACTCCGCACGTAGTCCTCCTCGGCGTCAGCAGGGTCTTACCTGAACCCATGGTGCACGTAGGCTTTGGCATAGGCGCCGCCGACGACACCGCACCCAATCTGAGAGGAGACGCCAAGGACACGAGGTGGCGACGAGAGAGGGAGGCAAAAGAGTGTGCGGAAGTTCGACCGAAATCGAGAACACACACACAAGAAGAGCACTTGTGAGATGAGTCTGACATTTTCGAAAGGAATATTGAGAGAGAGAGAGAGAGAGAGAGAGAGAGAGAGAGAGAGAGAGAGAGAGAGAGAGAGAGAGAGAGAAAGAGAGAGAGAGAAAGAGAGGTCGTCAGCAGCTGTCGTGCAGAACAGGGAAGCGGACACAAGAGCATGGTGAGCCGCCAAAGCAGGGACATGCAGAGGGGATCACAAGCACGTGAGGGCGGAATCACAACAGGCTGTACTGACGCCCGAAACAGGTTACACCGAGACGAGACCACGCCCACACAACTCTGGCTGTCACGAATGCTGCTGCACCGAGGAAAAGGGAAAAGCCGTGCCACACCTGAACGACGTTCTCCTTTCCTGGCATGTTGTTGTGTTGATGAAGTGTGATGGAAATGAGGTTGACGAGAGAGCGGCACGCGTGTGAATGGAACTGAGGTGTGTGTGTGGTCCCAACAGCCAACCTTCCTTCCTTCCACAGCCAGCAGGCCAAGAGCGGGGGCACCGCCGAATGCTTACTTTTTTTTTTAAAACAGCCATGTTCCGGCAGTTTTTGGTGTGTGTCTTTGTTTTTGTGTGTCATCGGTCAATGCATGGAACAGGGACCATGGGTAGGGATAAATTTTTTAAAAGCGGCGCCTCTGATTGGCCCAAACCGCCGCATTTGAACGAAGCTGATTGGGAGTTTGAAAGCGGGTTTTAAAAGCGGCACTTGGGATTAGTACGGGAGGAGTTGTAAAGACCGCGCGCGCGTGCGTTGTACTAAGAACCAACGTGCGCGCCGGCAGCACTGCACAGCTGCACAGCGCACAACACGTGCTTGCCAGCGTATGTATATCGCGTGGACAGACGCCGCGACGTGGTGAGATGCCAGGCAATGCCCCTCATGAAACCACCTGGGGCTGGGCTGCTATTGCGGCGGCGTGAACCTCCTGCTTGAAGCAAACGACCTCATCATCAACCAGAGCGCCGGTTGTGTTTTGGCATCATCATCATCATCATGACCGACCACGAAGCAACGGACATGGGATAAGGGCGTGGTGGCGACGGCTGGCTGTGTAAAACACGTTGCTGAGCACTGGCGGCGGTAAAGCTAGGAGGAGAGGCAGAGGTAGCAGCGGTCACCCCGTTTCGGCTTTTCCAGGTGAATATGTTGGTGCTACAAGCAGGTGTACAGCAACAGCAGTGAGTTGCAGCGCTTAGCCTTCGTGGGGTGTATCGTGTGCGTGCCTCTCTGTACGCTGCTTAGTACCCCATTGATGTGACGGCTGCTGCTGTACTGCTGTAGTGTGCGTACATAACGGGTACCGAACGTTTCTTTATTAACAGATCAGCAGGTGCTGTCCTGCAACGTCGTCACGAAATCAATCGGTCTTTTCTCGCAAGCATTATTTCACCACAGCGCAGCAACTTTACAGCAGTGTAGCAGATAGAGTCGATGACCGTCAGCAGTGCCGGCCCGCTCGTAAGAGCTTGGGCGGGGTTAAGCACCTTGCCGCAGCCATGTGAGCTGTGTATCATATCCTCTTACTTTATTTTTGCCAGCTAGTACTGCGAAGACAGCACAGCAGATAGAGTTCATGCCCACCCCCTTTGAACACCAAGCTTTCATCCCCAGTATGTCTAGTCTACCTCAGAAGAAGGCATTACAAGACCGTCTGCAAAGCACCTTACAGTAGGTTACCGTTCCCAAATGAGAACCCACACGATCTATCGTATGCATATTTATCCTCATCCTCAGTCGCTGTTTCAAACGTTGAGAATCCGCGCATGTTTCCGTGCCGGGGTGCCGCTCATCGCAACCGTCGATCCGCTCGGTCAACGCCTATTCTCCCACGGCTGATTTCGCCTCGTCTACACTGCTCGCATCTAGAGGCAACGTCACGCTAATAGTCCTTTGATGGGGCGTCAATGCCACGCCGTATGCATACGTCGTCGTACATGTGGCTGTTCAGGGCAGCCACCTGATTGATCTGCCCCAATAACTACCCCCGAACCAAGCCTCAAGAACATACAAACAACCAATACAAAGCGCAACCTAGCTCGTGAGGGGGGACCCCCGAAGACGAAATCCGTCCGGAAGCTGCATCGCTGCATGTATCAAGCTGTGACTAGGGGTCAAAGGCCGTTTCTTCCCACGTCCAACCTCAAATCTTTTCATTTGTAGCAACTGTATCCACGCAGTCCCTTCCGAGGAACTGGAGATCTGTGAAGGTCTGCTTGCTGTACGTCGGCAACCTTGTCACGGTTCTTTCTTTTTTGTCGTCAACGTTCAACTGCAACCTTCAGCAGTATGTAGCGGGTTGTTTGTTCTTACCTCCTGTGTACCGCAGTTTTATGTACATAGCGCGAGTGTAATTCCTGCTTGTACAGCAGTAGTTTCAGGGTTTATCATCGGTAACGCTCGTTGAGGCGGACACAGGGTGCAGGCTTGTATGGTAGTAAATACGTGGTACATCGTTGAGGCGTGTCAATGCAGTTGCTGACGTTTTCCCTCCTGTGTGTTCTTCGTACCCCTTTCCTCCTCTTGCTCCATCCGTGCATCAGGTACTCTCGCTCAGCATCCTAACGGCACCGCGGCGCTGGCGGGAAGCCGGCCGCGACTCGAGCCTCACTTGACAAGCCGGTTCATCTTTAGGTGGGTCATATGCATAGAGCAGCAACAGGGGGTTTCGTGCAGTCCAGATTGCGATACAACTCTACGGATGAGCGTGATATTGTTGAGGGATACGCTTGCATGTGTGCTGCTGGGAGCGACATTTGTGCTACTCAAGTGTTTGTAGAGTTTCTGCATTTTTGTTTACGACGCATACTTGTATCGATGGCACAACGGCCGGGCACACTTTGACCAACTGTCCGCGGTCCAACCATGGCACTACAAAGGGCCGTAGAGAAGTTCGACGCTTGGGTATGTTCACTTTTGCCTTTTGGCCTCTGATGAAAATGCTGAATCGCAAAACACATGTCATGTTCTCGCTTTGGATGACAGGTGTTCATACAACCGAGCGCTGGACATCAAGACGGGGTCGAAGGCTGATTTGGCGGTTCCTCTCCGTCGAACAGCTACCCAACCTATGGGGTGCCAGGGCAGTGTTTGAAGACGTGGTGTTAATCCTGCGCGATGTAACGGCGATTCAATGCGAACCTCTTGGTGATCATTGGCAGCCATCTTGCATCCTGCGGAGAACTGTTGTGACGACCGGAAGATGTAAACGCTTGGTTTACGCACAGGCACATTCGGAGATCTAGGGTTCGTTTTCCATGCTTATTCGTTGCTATTTCGGCGAGCGCCTATTCGGCGAGCAAATGCTGTTGTGTCCCGTTGGAATTTGGAAACGCCTTGTGTATAGGTTACAGCGGTAGCAGCCGGTGACTGGGGTAGTGAGTAGGGGCGGTTTGGTGGGGACGGGGGCGTCCATGCCAAATGCGAAGATGGGCATGAGGGGATAGAAGTACCATCCGTGCTATGGAGGCTGGACATGTGTCATTTTTCGGGGGGGCGTGCAAACCTTGTGGGCACCACAACAGCAGTAGGAGTGCCTGGCAGCAACGTAAGTACATAGCAGTAATGGGAGAGAACTACATAGTGTTGGCAAACTCTGCTGTCGCTGAAGTTCCAATTCTTGTTTCCCAAACCGGTTTGGGGGTAAACGGCAACGGCCGATGCTAGCCCTGATCGGGGTGTGGTGCAGTGTTCTGTAGCAGAACCAACCTACACAGACGTGATGCTGCCGTGTTTTTCGTAGACGTCTGAATGTAGAAGAACACATGGCTTGAATGTACACGCATCGATCCTTCTCGTAAGATGCCCAATGTAGAGCAAAACATTATACTTTGAAATCGAACTAGATAAGTACACGTACAACAGACGCATGCAAGAAAAAAAAAAAGTGGTACCTTCCGCACAATCATAAAGCCTCTTAATTTAGTGCACTCCCTCGGCCGCAATTCCTTGTACATTCTGATGCGCATGCATCAGTCCTCCTCGCAAAGTGCCAGGCAATGCAGAACAAAAAATGATTTTGAAATCGAGCTCGATTTGAGCGAGATAACAGTCAAAACAACAGGGCACAGAAAGGAGAAAAAAAGAGGCTTCAGCCCAAACGCCTCTTCGTATTTTTTTCGCGCTTCGCGCGAAATTAATATAACTCGTTCCCGGGTTGCCCTACCCATGGTCGCTGAGCCCAATGCATGAATGACAAACCAAACACAGAGGCTAAAAGAACCAGCAAAGCCGCACGTGCGTCTACACGTCTACACCGAATAGGCAAGGAGTCAACACTATCGAGACACCATCTGCACGGTGGTGGGTGCCTGGGGGGTGCACGGGATATGCGTACTAATACTCTCGGCTTGTCCGAGAGGATGATACCCCACGGCGGTAGGCTGCACAACGATACCACACCCGGGCCGATTCTCAAAGCTTGCTTGCCCCTGCAGCATAAGCAAAGATTGGCGCCGAATTTGGCGGCGTTGGGATTGACTTGTCCAGATCTTTCCGAAATAGTATTATTTGGGGTTGACATCCTCTTCGGCGTGAAGCAAAACCGAGGTTTTGACTTCGGCCAAGGGGTGGGTGTGGTATCTTACATCATGCCATGTACGGCGCCGGCAGTCGAGAAGCACCTCCTACCTACCCAGCAGTAGTTTCTTATATTCTATGTACACGGTAAACCGAAACAGCGACTACTAGGGTGTATAGTATTGGGGTTCTTATCTTAGCCGCGTAAATATGTACCTGGTATATGGGTTCACCGGCCGACCTGCTTGTTTCTAGTACCATAATAACGCAGTAGTAACGATGATACCATTACAATACTACTGGTGTACAGGAGTGACAATGGTACTGCTCTGAGTACGGCCCAACAGGCAGGGACCTGTGAAGAATGCGCCTCGCGCTTAGCCCCCTCCTGAGGAACCCAAGAATGAACCCCAAAACATTCAACCACCGCAGCTTCTTCTGTTTTTCTTGGCTGAGTCCCGGGTGGTGAAAATAGTACTTTTCGTCTTGGTACTGCGTGTTCACCTGCAATTTTAGTATTGAAGGGGAAATGGCACCCCGGGGCCAACTAAAGGTGTTGTGGTATTTGGAGATAGCCTTCCTCGCGATTTTCCTGTTTGCCTCACTTCCAGGATATTTTCAATGAAATAACCACCGATTGCACTTTCGTCTATCCTATGCTAAATAGGATCTTGCTTCTGTTCTTGCGGAAGAAGCTCCCGGCCGGGGTCACACAAACAACAAGCCCCGCTGTAGTTTCTGCAGTTTTTTGGAACCGGAACAAGGTTTGCTACTTTGTTTCTGTCCGAGAAGGCACGAATAAACGGAGGGCTCCAAAGCAATACGAAGACCTAGGCGCAGTAGCAATCCACTTCGACGCTTGCTTCAAGAAAACGCCTGGGGATCGGCTTGGATTGTACCTCCCCCCGAGTGTGCATAGACCTGGCCCATTCGAGGCACCATGCAGTCAGACCTGGTTCGCAGATTTACTTGTCTTATAGTCCATGCAAGTAGAGCGAACCAAGCAAGCCCAACCTTACAAATTGCTTTAATATCTACTGGTAGTGCCCATCAACGTTGTAGACGATCGGTCATGTGCCGCAAACGCAACCTCCGACCGCGTCAAGTGGTAGATCAGTACGGACAGATGAGGTTTCTAATGTGAAGACAACACAACAACAACTCAACAATCCAACAACTCATAAAACACGTATCTGCTGCGTTTACACTTTCTAAGAGCATTGGCATTCTCGCGACTGGCGTGAGTTCTGGGTCCAGGCTATCAGCGCAACTCTCGAGACCTCTTCTTCGTCCTATTACAGCTTCCTGTCGTCCCTAAAGAATCGACCTGATGGAAAACCATGTTCACAATTGTTGTTGTTGTTTCTCACATTAGCTCTATAGCCCACCAAAATGGGGAGCCCGTGGTCGCAAAAACCCGGCACATACGACGACGCCGCGGGAAACAAAACAAAAATAGGGTATAAACCACTCGGAAAAAAGAAAGCAAAATGATAGAAAGAAAATAACAGCTACCGCACCGACCGGTCGAGAAAAGAGCCCTCGGAAACCGATCAAAATAAAACAAAACAAAATAAAGATAAAAACTAAGAGGAGGACGCTTCCCACACCCCTGACTAAAAAATCAAAGGGTAACGTACCAGCACCAGACACTACGCACCAGGGCATGGGAGTAATGGAGGCAACAGAACAAAGAGGCGGCAGATGGGCAGACAGCCAGATATATAAACGCAAAAGCAACAGCAAAAGGGAGATCAAGGTACCCAACAAGGCAGAGTAGGCAGGGAGGACATGAAGAAAGAAGCACAGCACAGAGGCCGGAGGCAATACAAAGAACATACAGGAGTACAGCATAGGGCAGAGAGGGGAGCAGGCGCAACAACATCAGCCGGGTACACAGTACGCCACAAGTGCTGCCTCGGCCGCCCTAGTCGCTTCTACAGCAGTGCCCGGTCGCCGTTTCTTCCCCCCACCGCCGCTTCCCCGACTCTCTTTCTCTTCGGTCCCGAGATGGCCGTACTCTCTGCTTCTGCTTCCCTCGCGCGCTGGCGCTTCGCTGGCGCTTCGCGGACGCTTCCGCCTCCTGTCTGTGCCATGTACTATCTGATGAAGACTAACTTGGTTCTAAATCAAAATCAGGCCTAAACAGTAAACTTAGCACCCGAGATGCCATCAAAACATCTTCAAGAAGAACTACTAGAAAAGGTTAAGCCGAACATAAAAGCGCAGAGATAGAACGCGAAGGGTGGCTACACTTGAGAAGGAAGGACGACGTCCTGAGTACATCCCACACAATCATGACACAACTACAGTGTGCATGTAGTTGCGATAAACCACAAGAGACCTATAATGCCGGTTGCGGAGCCCGGCGATAAATGACATACTACTTCTTACTACGCATATCCATACCCAACCAACCCGGCCCTTGGGGTGTTGAGATGGGCACTACTCTGTATCACGTTTTTTTCGAAACCACCACCACCACCGACAACAACAACAACATAGTTTCCCCCAACCATAAATATGTAGCGAAAAAATGTAGCGAAATCGGGCTTGAGTGGGAGAAGGAGAGTCGGGCATGGTCGGCCGTCGCCTCTGCCCGGTTGTTCTTCTTCCAAGCAGTCAATCTCGTGCTAAGGTGAGCAACCGCTGATCGGCCGCTCGTTATGTTGCGGCCTTGGCACCCATGCAATATTGATGTAAAATCAGGTGTCGCCGCATTCGAGAACGTTGCAAGAAGTATGAAGTCCAGGATACTTTCGTCGCACAAGTCCAGCACGGCGGGCCTGTCCGCCCCGGTGGTTCCTTGTCCACAACGCCCCAAAGTCAAGCCAATTTTCAACGAGTCGTTCCTTGAAGGGAATACACGTAGGTCGAGCCTAGTGGAGGCCGGAGGAATCGGAGGTCGCGATGACACCATCGCACCTCCCGAAGCGGGGTGAATTCAAAGAACCTGCCAACGTCGAACACCATTCTACCCGCATCGGAGAGGGTCCACGAAAGGTGACGGCGCACAGTGCAAGCCGACAAGCTACCCCCCCCCCGGACGCGCTCGTAGATATCTAGAAGAAACGATCATACTCGTATTGGGGTACTCTCGCCGGACGGCACCCCTCTATGGACTTCTGGAAGGATTCCTTCATGCTCAGCCCCTCCATGTGGAAGAGTTCCTTGAACTTTGCGTTCGCAGCCTCTCGATTCTTCGACCATGTCACATGGCCTCCCAACGCGAAGAGGTGCTTCGCTAGCTTCATCCGTCCCACGATCTCACCGAGATCGACGTCCGTTGATCCGTTGATGAACTCGCGACAGAACGCGCTGTCCCCGCGGATGCTCATCCCTTCGGCCTCCATTGCCTTCGACAACATCTCTCGTCTCGCCGCAGGGTCGCCCCGCAGCCTGTAGAACTCGTGCATCTTTCGAGCCACACGCCCGACGCCCATGCACGCACAATGCGTCTCATACCTCGTCACGCGCTCCAAGACAGCAGGGTCCTCTAGGAAGGCGCCGACGTCCGGTATCCCCCCCAGCTGCTCGATTTCGCAGCAAAGCCTGCGGCGCGCGTCCGATCTCTTCGAAACAAACTTGGCGTTGGAGGCGAGCTGTCTCATGCTGCTTTTCTGGAGCCGTCGCACGTCCGCCGGGCACAGAAACGAAACGATCGCCGCCGATAAGCCCTCTTGGCCGACCACGCGCTGGATGACGCGGCCGATGCGCCTGCGAGCCTGGCACTTCTCCGAGATGAACCTTGCGTTGTAGACGAGCCTTTTCATGTTGCTTTGCTCGAGTCTCTTCACGTCCTCGGGGTTCAGGAATGAAACGATCGCTACCGACAGTCCCTCTCGGCCAATCACGCCTTGAATGATATCGTTCGTGCGCCAGAACGTGTCGAACATGGCTTGGTCGTCGTTTCCCAACACCTCGTTGTTACCAGGGCTGGAAAGCGCATCTACCACGCTCTGCAAGGCTCGTTGAATTACCGAAACAGAGTCGCCGGGAACGGCCCTCGTAGTCTGCGACGTGAGAAACTCAACATTTTGCAAGAAGTTGAGGGCTCTCACGGGATCGGCGGGCACAGTCTTTGCTGCCTGGTCTTTGAACCGATACGCTTGCCTAGCGTCTTGAAGCGACGTAAACGGGGTGTCGGAATCCAAGTAGTCGCCGAAAATGGCGTTCTTCAAGTCCTCGTTGGTAACCATTTCGGGGTCGATGTCGTGATCGGCCTTGAGCATCTCGATCCTGGCACTCTTCTCCCTGCGCTCTCTCTCCAGTTTGTTGGCTTTCTCCCTGCGATCGTTGGCTAGCCTCTCGGCCTTCTCCTTGCGATCTCTGGCAATCTTCTCTGCAGAGATTCGCCGCTCCCTGACGCGGAGAGCCTCAATCTCGGCCCTGACGTACAACACCGTCGGTCTGCTGCCCTTGTAGTGTGGGTTCGTGGTTGTAGACGTAGTGTTGTCGAGTTCTGTCAAATCCGGGGTCTTGGTTGCCTTGAACCTGTCCATCCCCCTAGCCGGGAACGTCAAGAATGCCACGTTACGGTCACCATCGCCCCTCCCACCAACCGAGAAATTCCTTGCTGATGCCCTACTAGAGAACCTCGCGTCGGTGGCACATTTGACGCATGACACAGCCAGGACGATTCCGCACAGCGTTCCTTTAACGTGGTTGATGCGGCAAAGCTCGCAAACCTTTTCGGTGGAGGAAGCCATTGCTTGAGTCTGGTTGTTGGTTATTCCAGGCGCAAGGAGAACAGGCGCGAGCGTCGAGGAAGGGCGATGTTCAGAGAGAGAGAGGTATTCGCCGTAGCACGCCGTCGACGGGTAACATACAACATACAACGCAAACGAACAACACGCAGGGCGGCAAGCAAAATGTTCTTACCCACGACTGTGAGAACGCCAACAAGGTTGCCACCCAAAGCATACCTCGTTCAACCATCGACATCTGTGGTAAAGGTGGGCTTAATTACATAGTGGTGTGGACTTTGGAGATTCCAGTGAAAAATGGAGATTTCAGGTACATTGATTCGTCTGCGAGTATGGGCCGCACTGGACACAATGCTCCAAAGAGTTGTCTTTCGCAGGTAGAGGATACTGCGATTCGTGACCGAATTCGCAAGGAAGAGTATTGATGTTGGGCGTTGGTTCAAGACGGGACTTCGGGGAAACAGTGCTATTGATGTGTGCCTCTGTGAAAGGATATGTGGAGAGATTCATGGTGGCATTCGCATTTAGTGCATCATGCATTTTTCGAATATTAGCCGCACCAGGGACCTTGATTACCCGCTGGTACCACTGTACCGTCTTTTCGTTGGTCACCGGGTAGCGCGGTCGATGCGAATAATAAAGACACACCTACCAATGGACTTGCCGACACCCGGAGCAAGAGGGCACGTGGATTCAAATACGTGATGTACACCCCCCCCCCCCCATTTTTCAGGCGCTTAATCCAGTTTGGTCAAGGTGTTTGTTGTATAGGACTTAGAAAGGTTATAGTAAAGCCTATATATTCCATAATGTATAGGCTTTAGTGTGACATTATAAAACCCATATATTAGAGAGGTGAATATGACCACACCAAATCCTAGACCTTTCTTTGTAGCCCCTTTTAGCAGCAGCAATCAATGTGGTCCTCCTGCAACAGCAAGGAAGGGTATCAGCAAGCAAGCACCCTGTCTGCTGTTCCCTATAGAGAAGACAGGGTTCACAGCAGCAGCAGCATCATATATAGTAGGCTTTACTACACACACGAAATCTACTGCATGCAATGTACCCACAACACACAGCAGCGGTCTAAACCTTACTTCCAGAAGTAAGTAAGTAAGAGAGGTGTAAGGTTTCGAATAGCCATATGCATACTAAATGCAATACAATAGAAAATGTATAGGTCATACTATACCACACTATTTCCTACATTTATCTATGTATACGGTATATAACAGACCCCCACACCCCTCCCCCTGATGGGGTGTGCATCACGTATTTGAATCCACGTGCCCTCTTGCCCGGAGTGGAAGGATACAGGGCGGCAACTCCATGGCATGCCACAACACCAGCATTTGCAAATGATCAATCAATGATGTGTCAGGACGCCTGTGACTCGAAAGGATTAACATTGATATCATCCCTCCCCTTGATGGGGTGTGCATCACGTATTTGAATCCACGTGCCCTCTTACCCGGAGTGGAAGGATACAGGGTGGCAACTCCATGGCATGCCACAACACCACCATTTGCAAATGATCAATCAATGATGTGTCAGGACACCTGTAGACTCGAAAGGGTTAACATTGATATCATCCTTTGAGAGAGACCCGAGTACTTGTTCGGAACCAGTTTTTGCCAGTTGGAGTCCGACTACAATAGTGGGCTTGATGTATCCAACCGCATGGTCGTGCGCCAAGGGCCTCTTTGGCGTCAGATGTGCAAAAGGATGACATTTTCTGATCTCGCACAAACATCAGGTGCAGCACGCGAACCGAGTGCAGGCACTCAAGCTACTTCGAACGCACCTCTGATACCTGTGCGACATACTCGTGTATCCTCTCCACAAAGAATGTTGCCAGTACTAGGAGCGTCTCTGGAACAGAGCGGGTGTAAGCGGAAGGGGGCGAACAAAAGGGATCTACTGCGGTAGAATTCTTCAAGTTGTGGTGAATGTGAACCCTTTTTTCTCTATCTCTGTCAGACCTCGCGCTGCTTTCCGCACCTGTAACACACGTTGTGCAAAACATTCCGCCTTTGCTATGAAGGTAATTATATGTTACAAAATATTTGTGATTGCCGTGCTTCCAAGCCCCATAATTGGAACACCGTTCGCAATGTGGGAAAAAAACATAGGTATGTTGTTTGTTCATTTAGCGTGAGGCCCACGGAAACTCCATCTCTTGACCTTCTCTGTACTCTCCACCGTCCTGAGGCCTACTAGTCACCATCTTCTATATGATTAACTACAACTGAACGCCCAAACTCCTCGAGATTTACCGAAGATCGTCGATGCGCTGTCCACCTCGGAAACCAAGTTCATCAAAATTTTTCAAAGTAGTAGTGAAAGTAGAAGTTAACAATGTAAATCCTGGCCTTGGTTGTCTCCTCCAAGGTGTTCGCCCTTGTCAAGGTCTCTACAAGGGGGCGAGGGCATCCGACATTTTGGGGAAGGGGGGTGGACGTCCATCTGTGATTCTTGTGGGCACTCAACATTGGGCGAAGAAACTGTCAGTTCGATGAACACGGATGTTAACACGTACTCCGCAAATCGGTTTTCTAGTGTGGAGATATAGTAGCAACAATAACATGCCAAACATGAACGACAAAGTTGTGACGACGATACATTTTCGTTGACCACCAATTGAGTAGTGCGGGCAATGAATGCTCAGGGAATGATGAGAAATGAAGTAACAAACGTCAATCCAAAGCCACTCGTTGTTCAGTGAGATACGAAGCAATATATTCACTCAGTTGACTGTGCCATGCCATGCCAGTCTCCGAGTGAAGGACCTGCTCCTTAGTGCTCTTGAGAACACCATGTGAGCGCTGCGCTGGCGACGGCTTGCTCGACAAGAGCAGCATTTCTTTCTTCATGATGAGCCGTGGGCAAATGACCTTGCTATTTCACCAAGGAGCGGCTTTTTTTTTTTTTTTGTCTTCACTTCAAATCAACGCTCACAGCACTAGTGCCGTTTACTCCAACCCGTGGTCACACAGAAGAGCCCCTCTCTACCCTCCCCTCCTGGTACTTTGCCTTCGATTTTTAATGCGAGAAGAGTTCAGCACTCTCTTCCCTCTGTGTACACACGAACTAGCGCATCCACTAGACCAGGAGCGGAAGCGAGAGAAAAACTCACTTTGCAAGAAAAGCTCGCTTACGCCGGGATTCGAACCCCTAACCTGACCTCTAGAAGGTTTCGAGGATACCAACTAGCTTGGTGCTTGCCGTTTGTTTTCTGTGGTCAAATGAGAAGTTCGATTTTATACGTCGACAGGAAGGTGTTCGCTAAGTTGGCCGTCGACACATGTTCCTGTTCGGCGCAGTGAAAACTTGGTACTGAAGCGAAATCGTTGTCTTCATGAAAATTCGGCGTGTGAGGATGGTTCGCAGATGGCCATGGTGCCAGTAAGGACGCCAAGCGCCGGCGGGCGTGGCATCTAGGGCGCAACACTGAGCGGTACGTGTGGTGATGTGATGACAATGTGGGAGAGAGATGATGTGGGAAGAGAGCAATGTGTTCTGGTGTGTCAAGGAGAGACACAACCCCAACGGAGTGTTCTGCACGTTTGCATGGGAAGAGAGATCCCACTGCTGCTGGGTTGATTCGGTGGCGTACACAATCACCCATGTCGCACGTGATTCAGTGACTACACACATCAACCGGGTTTGGTGGCCGAGGTTGGTGGGCCTGCTTCGACAGCGCTGGCTGTCACGGCTGATGCCACCGTACGAAGTTTACGCCGTCATCTGGATTATATATGCATACACTCTGCAAATACAGCAGTTATTCCGCATCGATGCGGGAGAGAAAATGAACTGTGACTTCTGTGGCGTTACGTTCACCATGTTGAACGTGGTTTCAATATCGGCTCCGCATCTAACGAGTGTGTGGTGGCCGCAGCCAAGCAAGCCAATACCCACAAACTGTTGCTGTTCGGTGTCGATACGCGATGGAAGTACATACACGAATGCTGGATCACATTGTGTGCTGTAAACGAGTGTACCACATGGGCTAATCTGGCCTCAGATATGCGTTGCAGTCGTTTTGGATCACATGGTGTGCTGTACACGACTGTGTATCACAGGGAATATTCTGGATTCAGATTTACGCTGCAGTCGTTAAAAGCCAGAGATTATGCAATTGCCAGTGAAGTATGTGGACAATACTTACAAGAGTACAACATACACAATTGTTGGAGACTTGCCGTGAGAATCGAGGCCCGCTTCGACGGAATGCGTTAAAGTCCTCCCAAAGTGCATACAAATGTGCTGAGAAAGTTGCTGGACAGCATCAAGCATACCTTGACGCCAGCTCGTTGTAGATTTAGTAGCGATCAGTCGATCGTGGTATGATCATGAGTATGCATACAACAAGTATTAAATGCCGGAACCACACACGTAAATAGTGTGTGGCGGCCGCGGTTGGTGGGCTTGTTTTCGCAACAGCGCTACTTACCAGGGTTGTTGCCTGTGTGGCGATTCACGCATGAATACAGCGAGTATGAATGCCGGAACCACACACATAAATGTGTGGCGGCCGTGGTTGGTGGGCTTGTTTTCGCAACAGCGCTACTTGCCAGGGTTGTTGCCTGTGTGGCGATTCACGCATGAATAGAGAGAGTATGAATGCCGGAACCACACACATAAATAGTGTGTGGCGGCCGTGGCGGTAGGTTTGTTTTCGCAACAGCGCTGCCTACTAGGGTTGTTTCCTGTGGGCGATTCCCGCATGAATACAAAAAGAGTGTAAATGCCGGAACCACACGCATGAAAAGTGTGTGGCGGCCGTGGTTGGT